GGGGTCTCACTTTTGCTCAGGCTGGTCTCGAACTCCTGAGCTCAAACAATCCGCCCGCCTCGGCCTCCCAGAGAGCTAAGATTACAGGCGTGAGCCACCACGCCCGGCCCAGTGAACGTATCTTTGCCATCCTTGGGAAACCATCAAAGAAAAATGGAGGAAAACTAATATTTACTCCGTGTGTAATATTCTAAAGCCTTTCTATATGTCTTTCCTCTGGAGAGAGAATAAAATCCTGCCTGTAGGGGACAGACATTTCCACCTGTCTTTAACCACAGTTTGCCTTCTCAGAAAACCACAGTTAATCAGTTTCCAAAGAGGATTCAAGACCTAATTTAATCTAGACAGCTGGACAGGAAGCTGTGGGAAGCAGTGGATGATCTTCTGACCAAAGGAAAGTGTGAACAGGTTACTAGCGTGAAGCAGTGTATTAGGTGAGAGAGAATGACACGCAGGAAGAGAAAGGTGTGCTAACACTTCAGTTACCTGCTAGGGAGAGGACATTTACCAAACCTGGCCAGGCATTTCCGTTGCCTTCCTCCCACCCACCTCTTTCCTTCTGAACCTTTCGTTCAAATGCTATGAAGAAATGAAACAAGCCATAAAGACAAACTGGGGAGGGGTTCCTGCACAGAGGTTGGTCAGGGAAGCTCTCCCTGGGGCGGTAGTATTTGAGCTGAGACATGAATGCACCAGAAGGAGCCAGCCGAGGCATAAGCCAGGGAAAGATGATTCCAGACAGAGGGACCTGTAAGCCTTTAGGTGGGACCATGTTTGGGGCCAGCTGCCCATCAGGGAAAATGGCACGGGGCACGCGGTGGTATAGGGCGATGGTTTTGACACAGTGCCCCAAGTGATGCCACGAGTTCCCTCGCGGGGTGTCGGGGTGGAGGGGCCAAGGGCAGAGGCTCTGCCAGGCCTGTGCCACCCTACCCAGCACACGCACACACGTGCACACACACGTGCACACTGGTTCAACAAAAGAAGCTCTTTTTTTTTTGTAGTGACAAGTGCCTTGCTATGTTGCCTAGGCTGGTTTTTTTTTTCTTTGTTTATTTGTTTTTTACCCTGTTGTGCTCCTGCGCAGAAATAGGCTGGTTTTGAACTCTTGCCCTTAAGTGGTCTTCCCGCCTCGGCCTGTCAGAGTGCTGGGATTAGGGGTGTGAGCCACCGTGCCCGGCCTCTTCAATTTGAAGCATATACTGGGTTTCTGCTTGAGGTTTAGTTGAAGACCAGGTTCAGGGATCAAAACTTCTTGATCTCAAAAGCCTTTTCCACACTTCCGTTGTTCAGTTGTGTGAAAAGTTGTCGTACAGCCCCTGTGGTGGCTACAGAAGGGTGGATTCCACTCCGCTAGTTGACGGGAGGCAGGGAGCCCAGACCCCGGCCACCTGAGCCCCCTCCACCACCCTGCCCCCTTCCTTCCCCTGTGCCGGCGGGTTGGGACCCTGACGCCTTCCAGGCTGGTTCCAGGTGGGGAGGGACGTGCGTCTCTGCCTCGTGCCGGCAGAGCACACTGGTTTCCCTTCCTCACACCGTCCGCATGATTCCCTTTCTGTCCTGCCCAGGAGAGCTTTGTGGAGACAGCCGAAGATTGGCTCTAGGTTTTTCCAACCTGTGAAACGCAAAGTCGGCCTCCTGCCTCCCTTGCTGACCTCCAGACTCATCCCTTTCCTGTCTCCGGGGACACCCGGCCGCCCTCAGATAAGTCTCTCCCGTCCTGGGCTCTGGGACAGAGCACTGCGCAGAATGTGAAGTCATTTTCTGCTAACGCGGGTCTAATTAGCTCTTCGACTGACAAGGGGAAGCAGAGGCCACGAGGGATTTAAACAATGTCCTTCTCATGCGGCACAAAACAAGCGAAGAGCCAGACGCGACGTGGAGAGGAAGGAGGACACAGAGACAAACCCGCGTGTGCAGAAGGGGGAGGGAGAGCACCGAGTGACTGAAACATCAGTCTGGTTTTCCCAACTTCGTCACTGTCCCAATGTCCCCCTTCTCTCTCCCGTACAGCACTTACCTGAAGGTCGGTGATTTCTCTTTCTGATTCCATCTCGCTGCCCTCAAGTCCCGTCACACGCAGCGGGGCCAGGGACAGACTGCGTGGGCTCCCCCAGGCTCCGCTGTCTGAGCCTGGCTGCTTTCTCTGGGTGGCAGAGAACCCGCAGCTGGCGGGACAGACCTGCTATTCATCCGTCTGGCGTGGGCTGCCCGTCTTGGCCGCGGCCCCGGGGGCGGTGCGCACACGTGCAAGCGTGCGTGTGTGTGCTCCTCGGGGGGTGGCGTGTGGCACACTGGTGGGTGGCCTTTTAAGCTGGTCGAGACAGCATCATTTTCACTAGGGGCCTCAGTGCCCCTCCAGTTCCAGCGGAGCCATCCGAGGCCACCCAGCCTGCTTTGAGCTGTGGCTTTGCTACTGGCGAAATGACCCTGCACATTTACCAAGGAAACTGAAAAAGCCGGGGACGCTGTCTGACGTCACTGCTCACTGGGGTCCCCTTTCACCAGGGAGGAGCGGCCTCCAGCAGGCTCAGAACTAAGGCTCTGAGAATTCTGTTCTTTGCTTGGTTCCTTCTGTCCCTGAAAGTTTAAGAGCAACGTGTAGTTTACCTAATAGGGCCCACAGCATAAGGCTCGCTCTACAAGGTGGGTGAACAGTGAGTGCTTGTTGGGTAGCCCCAGCTTCTCCCTTGGTTGGCCAGACAGAGCGAGCAGGGAAAAGTTACACCTTTGCATCTTGTTTGTGCAAGTAGCTGCATTTTCCCTATTTTAAAAATAAAGCTTTGTTTTTTTGGAAAGGTTTTTTTTTTTCTCCTGTTTACCTTAGAGCCTAAAACTCTTCTGGCTTGTCCCTGAAGCTGGTTTTAGACACAGGCGGTGTCTGTGGGTGGGAGGCAGGCTGCTCACGGGAGTAGCCCATTCCGAGTTTAAAGAGGTGGGGGCGGCAGGAAGAGAGCCAGAGTCACAAATTTACTCTGGCCACACCCAAACGTGCAAAAAAAAGAAAAAACCCAAAAGGCAATATCTTGATTTCTGCGAAATGTCTTTGTAAGTTCCCACCCTGCTGGACGGTGGTGTGGGTTAGGGCTGGACAACGGGATGAGGATTATATTTTTTTTCAATTTTTTTTATTTTACTAAGATATTAAGCTGATAAGAACAGATGCCACATTTGATCTTAGCCAGAAG